AGCCTCTCCCTTATATAGGCCACCAGGAACCTAACCTTCATGTGGGGAAATGGAGGATGCTTTGGAGCAGCCTTGTGTGGATACAGTAGGAGAACATGCTTCTTTATCAGTCACATGTTCAGAAGAGGAGGGCAAATTTCACCCAGAGGCAGAGAGCTTAGTATTTTAAGGACAAGGCCAGTATAAGCTCAGGTTTTTCTCAAGATGTGTATGTGTATGAGCCAAATGGTTCTGCTTCGTAGTTAATGGACTGCTAAGACAATTGACTAAAACAAAAACTAGAAGAACAGAGTAATGATTTGCAGAAATTCATTAAGCAATGATTTATATGTACTAATGTTTATATTGTTTTCAAGACTTGTACAAGGGGAAAGAAGCAAGCACATCCAAGAGGTAGTTAACTTTTAACTACCTGCTTCTATTTTTTATTTTTCAATCAATAAGTATAAAATCATGTGTCATGTTTATTTCATTATTTTAAAAATATTTTATTTATTTTTGTGTAGAAGAACTGGGGTGTAGGCCACAGATGGGGGGATGAGAGGATTCACTAAAGACAGCGGGGCGCAGAACAGGCAGATCTACTGGAACACACTGCTGAGGGGAGGAGTTAATGAAACAGAAGAGGTCTGCTGTGCCATGTGGGTTAACTCCCTGGCCAGGATTGAACTCAGGCCATTGCAGTGGGCCATCATGGTGGTAGTGCTCAGACTTAATCCCTAGGTCACCAGCGAGGCCCATGTGTCATGTTTATAATGTAATTTTTGTTTTTAATCTGAAAAGTCAGAAGTATAAAGGATAAAATAAAAAGCAACTAGCACCCAGGAAAATAAAGTTCCACTTCTCTTCTTTTCTTGGTTCTCTCCCACCATCAACAAGATGTTTATGTGAGGTCAATCTCCCCAAAAGGGTAACTAGCATGCTTTTCTCAATAAATCTAGAGTAGGCCTTTTGTTCCTTTGGTATGAAAATTAGTGGTCAGTCGAGGCTCTCTGAGCTTTGGAAGTTCTGTTACCATTACTTAAAGAACACAGATAAGGTTGAGAGATGTGACTCCTGAAGGCTAGGAGCAACTTCTGTCCTTGCTTAAATCCTTTGCCTCTCTTTAAAAGATACTTAGAATGTAGTTTGGAGAGTCTCACCCATTTGTAGGTTTATTAGTAAACATGTCTTCTTTAAACTTCTTTATGAGTCACATGTTCAGAAGAGGAGGGCAAATTCTACCCAGAGGCAGAGAGCTTAGTATTTTAAGGACAAGGCCAGTGTAAACTCAGGTAAGAATCTCACCTTTACTTTCAGAGTAGGGCAGAGGTGGTAACCATTCTTCTTTGTCATGTTAAGTTTCTCCCCCTCTCCTTGTAGAATATTCTGGGTCTGATCCATTAGTCATATAAAATTTTCATATGTATGTTTTTAAAATTTAGCCTTTTCTCTTCCTAATCTGATGTTAACTTGTTTGTCCAGTCTTAGAAGAGCCCAAATTGTGTGGGGGATTTTCTCCAGTGCTTTTTTTTTTAAATTTTGGAATAGTTAACAAGGATGATAAATACTCCATTTACTTGCTACCTGCTCCTCAGTAATACTTCCTGTAAAGGAGAAATGGACATTCTGATCATGTGGGTAGCATCTTGGGGAAGAATCATGCATAGGCCAGAGGAAAGGGGTGTGAAGAAATTCACAGAGTGGATAACAGAAAATACAGTTTTATTGAGACACACTGCTAAGGGAGTAGTGCACAAGATAGGCTGTGCACAGTGAGGGGCCCCAAGCTCTATATTGCAGGCATCACTGATTGATGAGGGTGACTAGTCTTGGGTGTGCCGGGATCTGAATTAGCATAACAGATCATCAGCTTATCTGATCTCATTAGCTCAATGTCCTGGTTCCCTTGGCAGTCCCATCCACTTGCTTTATCTAGTCAAGCCTCCCATACTTGCCTGCAGGGCAAGGAGTGGGGCTTATTTTTTTTTTTTTACATCATTGTTCATTTTTAAACAATATTTGCTACCCCTCCCCACCCCAGGGGTAGTCCCCATAGAATTTCCTTCACCAATGCACCTGTGCACCATCACCACAGTCCCCTGTGCGCCTCCCTCCCTTCCTCTGATCCCTCTCCCACCCCCTCCCCCCCCAGGATGTCTCTGATTTATAATTGTCTGTTTTTGTTTTGTTGTGTTTTGTATTATTTTTTTTACAATGATGTCTTATTTGGTTCCCCTATATTTCTCCTGTAAGTGAAACCATCCGATATTTTTCTTTTTCCTTCTGACTTATTTCACTGAGCATAATTCCTTCTAGCTGCATCCGCATTGGTGCGAATGGCATGAATTTATCTTTTTTGATGGCTGAATAGTATTCCATTGTGTGTATATACCATATCTTGATCCAGTCATCTATTTAGTTTTTTTAATTTAGTTTTTAAATTTAGTAATGATACCACTGGTAGTAGTTAGAGAGGGGTGCAAATATCAATGTTGAATCACTCTATTCTGATAGCATTGGATAGATTGGTTAAGAGAAAAAAACCATAGAGAATGTTAGCAATAAGATACTTATGCACAAAGGAAAGACCCAGCATGACTGAGTAACTTAACCTGCTTGTCTTTATGCTATAGGAAAGAGTGACGGATACCCCAGAACACCCAAACCTGACCATTCTAAGGAGATTCTGCCATCCACTGATCAAGATAAAACATACTCCAGTGGGTAAGACCTTCAATGGAAAGGAACTTTAATACAATTAGTGTGCAAAACAGAAAAGGGGAAGAATAGTTTCCAAATCAAGCACCCAAAGTTACCCATCTCCTCCTGGGTAAATGTCCAGCCAAGCAGGGTTGGCCCAATGCAGGGCCACTGAGGCCTGAAAGCTAGCCACAAATCTAAAGCACCATTTGGCGGGTACCCATAGAAAATGGTTAGACAGGTAAGTCTGGGAGGAAAAGAGCAAAATCAAAATCAAAGCTGCCATTTTTAACCTCCCCACGAATCTCTCACCCACATCTGTTTAAAACAGTCCAAGACCAAGAAGCAAGTTCAGAGGGGCCTCCCTGTGGCGCAGGGTTAAAGTCTTGGTACTATCAAGCTATCGCCAGCCATTGCTGCATGAGTTTGATCCCCAGCCAGGGAGCTAACCCACATGGTACAGCAGACCTCTCCTGTCTCACCCGCTGCTCCCCTCAGCAGTGTATTTCAGTACATCTGCCTGTTCTGCTTCCCACTCTGGTGAATCCTCTTTTTTTTTTTTTTAGATTTTTTTTATTTATTTACACAAACACTGGGTACAGTCAGAAGCGCAGGAGGGTGAGAGAATTCACCAGAGCCAGAGCGGGGAGCAGAGCAGGTAGAAGGACTGAAGTACACTGCTGAGGGGAGCAGCGGGTGGCAGGAGAGGTCTGCGTGCCATGTGGGACACTCCTCTGGTGGCTGGGGAGCAGTCGGGGAACGAACCGCCACTGCAGAGGCTGCGGGCAGCTTCGCAACCCAGCGCTCAACCACTGCACCACCAGGGAGGCCCTGGTGAATCCTCTTACCACCACCCCCTGCCCTGCCCCTCTCTGGCCTATACCCCAGTTCTTATATGCATGGGGGCCTCCCTGGTGGCGCAGGTGGTTGAGCGCCGCACTGTGAAGCTGTCCACAGCCTCGGAAGCGAGGGTTCGATTCCGGCCAGCTGGCGAGAATCCCACATGGCATGGCAGACCTCTCCTGTCCGCTGCTCCCCTCAGCAGTGTATTTCAGTCAGTCTGCCTGTTCTGTTCCCCACTCTTAGAGAGGGGTGAAAGAGCAAAATCTCTGTCTCTAGTGAATTCTCTCACCCTCCTGCACATCTGGTCTGTACCCCTAATCATGTATAAATAAATAAATAAATAAATCTTTTAAAAAAAAAGGCAAATGCAACTTCTTCACTTGTCTCCCGGCTCCATGTGCCTCCTCTAGGTCTCTTTCTGGGTCTCCATCCTTCTTTGTCCAGTCTCCTCCTCCAGCTTCTTCTCTTTCCTGCTCAGCTCTACCCTTCCTTGTATAGAACAGGTAACCTGGAACCTCTCCTTTCCCTGGGGACCACCCTCTTACACTTTGATGCCATCTTAGATAGCCAGGACAAGGGAGGTTGGGGGGAAGAAGTCAAAGCATTTAATGGGGAAAACAAAGGTGCTTGTGCATTCTGCATTTAAATGAGATTAAGGGGATTAGGTCTTCAGGAAAAGATTCATGCAGAGAGAAATTTAGATTTAAACATGAACTCCCAGGGTGGGGTGGGGGGAAGAGGGGTTGGGGTCAAAATAAGGGGGTTGAAATTGTATGGGGGATATAAAAATAAAAAGAAAGAAAAGAAGGAGGGAAGGAAGAAAGGAAGGAAAGAAAGAAGGAAAGAAGGAAAGAAGGAAAAAAAGGAAAGAAAGAAAAAGAAAGAAAGATGCCAAAGTGTCATTAAATATATATGTGCATACATATAAAAAAAATCAATTCCCAGTCTTCAGAGGGAGTAAATAAACCCCCTCCCAAAGACAAACAAGTGTTTGATTTTTTTGCTTCCCTACAATACAGGTACCACTCACTCCCCTGGGCTTTAAAGCTGCCTTTCCTTTTTTTAAATGAAGGTTTTTATAACACTCGGAAACTAAGATTAAGGTGCCTTTTTTTTTTTTTTTTAATACTAGCAACCAACTGTTAACAGTTTGCTTCCTTTTTTTAACTGGATTTTGGTAGGTCTCAAACACTTAGAGAGTGAAGTCAAATGATTGAGGTGCCAAATATCACCCCAATGGCAATATCACAATATGTATATCAAGTTGTATGTATGTTCTACATACACAATGTTATATGTCAAACCAGTGTCAGTTCCTCCCTGCTGTGGTTACTAAGATTACCAGCACTTCTTGGTCTTTCTCATCAAACCTCACAGAAGGTGTGGCGACATGGGATAAAAATCCAAAGTCAGCCTGGCAATCCAGGTTCTTTTCTCCCATCCCCCAAGCCCATCCCACTTTGCCACTACTGACAAGTTGCTATTGTAGAACCTGCCACTACTAACAAGTTGCTCTTTGTAGAACCACAGTGCACCTCGCCACCATAGGTAGCTGAACTTTGCCCAGGTCTGAACCAGGATTTGCATCCTGTATCACACTGAGTAGAAACAACACAACTTGCAACACAGCTTGGACAGGTTTCTCAGTTAGGATGGATTCCATGGGCCTAGAGGCTTCTCACAGGGCAAACCCAGATGGCCTGGGTAAGGAGCACAAAAGCAAGCCTTTATTGGCTAGAAATTCAAGAGGCCTCACCTGCACCCAGGTAAAAAGAAACCCAGAGTAGATATTGGCTACTGAAGGAATGTATTCTTTGCTTCTACCTGCCAGGTAACAGACATTAAGGAAATTTGATTCTTTATTAGAACTCTAGGTTTCCTATTTGCAAACATTTAACATGGGAGGGGGGAACCCCAAACAACTCACCCCATTCTTTCCCAGCTTTTATGGCAGAAGTAGAAACTAGGAGAATAGGGCTTCAAATAGGAGCTCTTCCACTTTAACCCTTGCTTTGATCTCGTTCCCGGTCTGTAGATACATTTATAACCCGATAACCCAGTCTTGGTTAGCATCGGGGGAGTTCTGGGTCGCCGCCTCAGGGGCAGCGCCGGGCGAGCGCTGGGTCGCCGCCTCGCGGGCAGCATTCGGGGACCCCTGGGTCGCCGCCTCGCGGGCAGCATTCGGGGACCCCTGGGTCGCCGACTCCGGGGTAGCGCCGGGAGAGCGCTGGGTCGCCGCCTCGCGGGCAGCATTCGGGGACCCCTGGGTCGCCGACTCCGGGGTAGCGCCGGGAGAGCGCTGGGTCGCCGCCTCGCGGGCAGCATTCGGGGACCCCTGGGTCGCCGCCTCTGGGGCAGCGCCGGGCGAGAGCTGGGTCGCCGCCTCGAGGGCAGCATTCGGGGACCCCTGGGTCGCCGCCTCGAGGGCAGCATTCGGGGACCCCTGGGTCGCCGCCTCCGGGGCAGCGCCGGGCGAGAGCTGGGTCTCCGCCTCGCGGGCAGCATTCGGGGACCCCTGGGTCGCCGCCTCCTGGGTAGCGCGGGGCGAGGGCTGGGTCGCCGCCCCCCGGGCAGCCTTCGGGGAGCCCTGGGTCGCCGCCTCCGGAACAGATTCGGGGCGTCGCTGGGCCGCCGCCTTCAGGGTAGCATCAGGAGAACGTTGAGTCCCGACCTCCTGGCCAGAAGCCTTCTCTGAAGCCTTCTCTGAAAAAAAGGGTAATGTGAGGTGATTGAACCTGTGTCCCCATACTCTCTCCACAATGGGGGGCTCATTCAGACCCTATAGAAGGGTAGGGGCCGGAATGTGGCCACGGGGGGATGGAGAGGGTGCTCAATTCGACCTTCCAGATCCCATGCAAACTGGAAACACTCTCCAGAGCAATCCGGAGGATGAAATTGCTATTCCCTCAGCCAGGAAGCATCCATACCTCTCCCAAGGAACCCAGAGTACCCCTGCCCCTTACTTTGCGCCCGCAGTTGGTAGTGATAGTCAGCCAAGTTCATGATCATCTTGGATACATCCTTCTGACAATAAGGCCGACCAAATATCAGGATTTCAGCCTCCCCTTCGGGTTCCCACCGATGAATGTGAAGTAGGGTCTGGGACACCCACTCCACGTGTGGGATGTGCTCTCCACCTGGTCCTGCTCAGGAAGCAATAGAGGGAGGTGTAAGATCTGGGGAGGAAGGGAGGTGAAGGGAGGACCGGAGGAGGCCAGGGCCACTGGAGAAGCTGTCCTGTGCTGGGACGCTGCCTAGGGGAGGGGGGTGGTGGAGTAGGGGTTACAATATCCATCCTCCATAGGTTTTCACCGAAGATCGCTTCCACCAGCCATGCCTCCAGGTGAACTGCTTTAGGATTCTTCAGGTATTCGAAGTGGAACCAGTAGGGCCGCTTGGTAAGGTTGCTGAGAACTTGGAAAACGGTGCCTTCTCGCTGCTCCAGCTGTATGAGCGTTGGAAACCGCTTGGAAGTAGCCATACTGCTTCCTCAATGGAAGCGGCAACACAACTGCAAACCATCAGGTTGCCACCCGCTGTGGCAGCTGCGCCTCAGCCTGGGCCTTATTTCAAGGGATTTTCGCAAGCCCCACCCCATCCGCTCCTTTCTCATTGGTTTTCTGGTCTCACCTCCCACTCCAGGCAGTCTGAGATTATTCCAGAAATCACACAAGTCCTTTGGTGCCAAGGGCTCTCTCCAACAGCCTTTCCCTGCATCCACTGTGGGAGGGAGAGGCAGAGCTCCCCACTTGAAGCTTCAATTGGGAAAATGGGAAAGACATCAGGGAAGTGAGGCTAGTCCCACAGAAGCAAGGAAGAGCCAACAGGATGATGCCGTTTCAATGGAAATTTCAATTAAATACATCAAAAAACAAAAATTCAAGAAGTAAAAAAAGTTTCCAAGGACTCAAGTAAGTCTCCTACTTTCTCCTGAACTCTGAACACTGAGTTCCTTCTGCAGAGGCCACCACTTTCTAGCATCTTCTTTAATGGGTCAGAGACAACCGAGCACACCCAGCAGTGTCTGGTGGATGTGGCTCAAAGAGTAGAGAGGCATCCTTGAAACTTTTTGATGCCTTCATTCTGTAAATAACACAATGGTGCTTCCATTTCTTAAAGCATTACCTATTCACTGTCACTCAGAAAGATGAAGCTATATAACTTTCCGTAGTTTGAGTATTATGCCCAGAGCTAATGGTGGGGAGAGAGCCCCCAAATTCAGTTTTGGCACATCTTTGTATCCTTCTTGTGGAAGTTCTGTAGGCTAAAGAAGTACAGGTGTCTGACAAGAGCAAAAGTCTTGACAGCTAATCAGAAAATGAATTAAGAGCCCAAACAAGGGCAAAATCCACTCAGAGTTGCACAGGATGAAGTTATAAACTTCTATGGGTACACAGAACACTCATGAGAGAGGTTAGGGGAAACCAAGGATCTGGGCTCCACAACTATCATCTCTAAAGTTTGTGGAGATATAACAAAGGCATCTCCATAAAAGGGGGGGAACCATGCCCCTGCCCCACTTAATGATGGGTAGAACTGAGCAGCCAAGTGAAGCTATATAACACTCAAGTCAGGTGGACTCTGAGAGATACAGAAGAGGGAGGTAGAGAAGAAGGACACACTTACTTTTCAACTTTGAATTTGTACCAGAGTCTTGGGGGACTTGGCAAAGACACACAGAGGAGAGACTTGTTCAGACACTTGGAAGAGACATGGGAGGCTAACAACGGCAGCTGTTATCTTGATTTGTACTTTGATTTTGTTTTTTTCCTCCCAAACTTGCCTGGCATCATTGACATTGAATTAACTTATGTGTCCACCAGCATTTTAGGATTTTATAATGAAAAACATTGAAACTTATTTTGGACAAAACAAATGTACATATCTGTAAATACTCCTTCTTCAAAAGATATAATTGATGGAAAACACAGGGATATGTTGGGAAGCAGAACATGTGAAGTGATGAGAAGAGCATCTAGGATAACACTCCTTCAACCCAATCCTACAGCAGAATGACCTTTAACTTTTTCTTGTAAAGATTTTCTCAAAATGATTTATTGAAATAATGTGAGTCTTCAAGTTTTTTTTAAAGATTTATTTATTTATGCATAGAAGAACTGAGGTGCAGGCCAGAGGTGCGGGGGTGAAAGGATTCACCAGAGACAGAGTGGAGAGAAGAACAGGTGGATCTACTGAAATACACTGCTGAGGGGAGCAGCAGGCGAGACAGGAGAGGTCTGCTGTGCCATGTGGGTCGGCTCCCTGGCGAAACTCAGGCCATAGCGCTGACAGCCTGAGACTTAACCCGTAGGCCACCAGGGAAGCCCAGTCTTCAAGATTTTAACCTTCCAAATGTTGACTCTAACCAACACAAACTCTGTGCTTCCATATTGCAACAACAAACACCCTTTCTGCAACAGGATATGGAGTATGTTGGAGAAGTAACCATTTTAAGAAATGGAAACCAAGCTATCACAGAGGTAGCCATTGGGAAAACAGGCATCTGTAGGGCAATAAGTGGTACCTGGCTAAAGAGGAGGGTGATAAACTCAACATGTTGTGGAGGAAAGGACATCAGCTTTGCCCAGGTTCACCTGAGATAAATGGAAGGTTCAGGAGAGGCTCAGGCAGGTCTCCCACACCCAGAATTTCTCAAAGACTGAACAGTCTTATTTATCCAGGGAAGAGTACCTTCCATGTAGATTAAGTTATTCCTTTCCAGGAATAATCCTATACTTCGCAAATTTCCTTAGTAAGTAAACATATATTATTACATTCCTTAAGATGGGGTGGGACAGAGAGAGGGCTTTAGAAAAGACTGGTTTACAGGCTAAATAAAAGAAGAAGGATGAGTGTAATTAGCTTCTTATTTTGCAAGGAGTTGCCCAGTTGAGGCTGACATCTTCCTCTTTCAGGGTCTGAGAGACTTGTCTTTATCATGACTGGTCCCACCCACAAAGCCCCAATAATAAGAACTGCAGAAAGGAGAGGTGGCCCTATCCTGCAAGACTGGAGCCTTGGGTTTGTTGCCCCCACATGTCCAACCCCGCCGAGGGCTAGAGGCTGGTTTTCTAACACCTTGTTGGGGACATGAGCGCGCAGAACAACAGTTGATGTGTTTTGAAGAAGGTCCCTGTTTATCCCTTCACTTGCTCTGCTGCTAGGCGCAGGCAGCAGAGCCTCAGACTGCTCGAGGATGAAGAACATGACCTTGCACACGGGTTCTGGGTGAATTACTCAGAGGACACAGGCTCACGTCCTCAATGCACCAGACAGCAGCTTGGTCTGGGCCCCAGCGGATGAGAAGACATCAGCTGGGACGACATCCCAATGATTACCGCTTATATATTCCCTATGTATTCAGCAATCTCCTGGATTTAAATAACATTTCTGCACTGACTCCTTGCCTCCCCTTCCAACCCCCTCACACTTCCCTCTAAGGAACAGCAGAGAACACTGTGATTAGAGACAAGTGGGGACTCATGTTATTTTAAAAACCCATTTGTATACAAAGTAAAACGTTAAATCCTTGTCCTGCACTTATTCTCTCAAGGTAGCCATGGGTAAAAATTTTAGATGACTTCTCCTACAGATGCTCTATTCATTTATAGTTACATATAATTATGTCTGCTGATACTTAACTGTACACAAATGGCATCTGAACTTGAGCCCAGGAAACAGATCTGGAAGGGAGATAGATTTGTGAACGAGTTCACCTTAGAACTGACAAGACTTGGGGGTGATGTATAGAATAGATAAAAGCCAGAAATATTAGAAAATTTTTGCTTAAGGATTTATTTTTATTTATTTATGCATACAAGAGCTGGGGTGTAGGCCAGAGGTGGGGGGGTGTTGAGAAGATTCACCAGAGACAGAGTGGGGAGCAGAACAGGCAGATCTACTGAAATAGACTGCTGAGGGGAGCAGTGGGTGAGACAGGAGAAGTCTGCTCTGCCATGTGGGTTAGCTCCCTGGCCAGGAATAGAATTCATGCTACAGTAGCTGCCAGCAGATTGATAGCGCTGAGACTTTAATCCCTGTGCCACCAGGGAGGCCCTGTTAGAAATGTTTTGAGGAAGTGTTGGCATATATTTTAGAAAACAAAATAGGAAGAGCCAAAGGGAAGGAAGAAGCCAATGAGTTTGCTCTGGGACATGTAGACTTTCAAAAGCTTCAAGGATAGGAAGATGTAAACATGTAATGGGCTATTACTGGTTAAGCACTCGGTGATTCTAGAAGTATAGTTTTGGGAATTGTAATATGGGTAAGTAGTTTAAATCATCAGTGCAGACAAAATTACTTTGGGAGAATGACAGATGGTAATAAAGGGGAAGGGGTAAGGGAGAGAGTCAGGATCACCAACATTTAAGGTACAGGCAAAGAAAGGAAGAAGCACAGGGAAAAGAAGACCAAGAAAAGAAAAAAATCAGGGGAGTAAAAAAGGAGCAAAAGAAAACAAGTGTAAATGTATAAGCAGGATAAGAAACTTCTAAAAAGGGTGTGGCTATATATGTCTAGACTTTTTTTTTTAATGATATTCTTTTTTTTTTTTTTAAGATTTATTTATTTATACAAGCACTGGGTACAGTCAGAAGCGTGGGAGGGTGAGAGAATTCACCAGAGCCAGAGCGGGGAGCAGAGCAGGCAGAAGGACCGAAGTACACTGCTGAGAGGAGCAGCGGGCGGCAGGAGTGGTCTGCGCGCCATGTGGGACCCTCCTCCGGTGACCGGGGAGCAGCCGGGGATCGAACCGGCGCTGCAGAGGCTGCGGCCAACTTCGCAACCCTGCACTCAACCGCTGCGCCACCGGGGAGGCCCGTATGTCTAGACTTTTATGTCTAGTCTGCCCAATAGCAATATAATGTGAAACTCTAAGTTCAATTTTTTCTCTTAGCCATAGTGTGATGAAATGTGTTGCAATGAATTTTGATAATATACTTTAACAATATGTCAAAATTTTTATTATTTTAATAATTTAATCAATGTAAATTGAGATATTTTACTTTCTTTTGGTATTAAAAGTCATCAAAATCTTCTGTGTAGTTTGTATTTAGAGTGCAGTGCAGATTAGACTCATTTCAGGTTCCCAACAGCACATCTGTCTAGTGGCATCTATATTGTATAGTGCAGGTCTAGGGAATGAATCTTTGAAATGCAGATGCAGGTGTCAAAGAATAAAGTGTTTAGGAATACGTGAGGTATATGGAAGCAGCAGCATGGGCTGTTTTTCAAGGAGTTTGTGTGACAGAAAAGATGGAGATTGGTTTGTGGCTGGAATGGGAGATTTGGAGTTGAAAGCTGACTATTTTAGGATTAAAGCATGTTTTCAGGCTGAGGTAAAGAAGTCTTGAGAGAATAAGCATTGTTGAAGCATGCTTCTGATGAAAGAGCTGACGGCAGTGTCATGAACTCTAGTACGGGGTTGGACTTTGGATGTGAACAGGGAGATGTGTTCTTTTCTGGAGGAAGAAAGTTAAGGAAATTCCTATGCATCTTCCAGGTTTCAGCTTACCTTTGTGGACTTTCCCAAGATACCCCTTGCCATGGTTGGTTTTATATGTCAACTTAGCTAGTCTGTATACAAATACTCATGCAGTTGTTGCTATTGTGGTTTATATTTACAATCAACTGATTTAAGTAAATGAGATTATCCTCAATAATGTGGGTAGGCATCATCCAATCAGTTGTAAGACCTTAAGGAGAAAACTGAATTTTAAAAAATAACATAAAAATTTTATTTTATTTTTTAAAGATTTATTTATTTATGCATAGAAGAACTGGGGTGTAGGCCAGAGGTGTGGGGGGTGAGAGGATTCATCAGAGACAGAGTGGGGAACAGAACAGGCAGATTAACTGAAATACACTGCTGAGGGGAGCAGCGGGTGAGACAGGAGAGGTCTGCTCAGCCATGTGGGTTAGCTCCCTGGCCAGAATTGAACTCACGTTGCAGTGGCTGGCAATAGCTTGATAGCACTGTGTCTTTAACCCCTGTGCCACCAAGGAAGCCCAACATAAAAATATTGAAAAGGGGAAAAAATAAAGAAGAAAATAGAGGATACCCTGGGGAAGAAGGAATTCTGACACATCATCTCCTGCCCTAGTGTTTCAACCATTTGTAAGTTTATAATTCTGTGGCATTAAATGCATTCACATTGTTCTATAACTCAGATTTTTTTAATCATCTCCTGCCAGCCCGCCTGTAACTCAAAATTTTTTATCATCTCCTGCCTGCCTGCCCTACATATGACTTACCTGATTCACAGTCTTGTAAACCAATTTCTTGAAATAAATCTCTTCATATGTATATGTGTGCATGTGTGTGCATGTATGCATGTGTGCTTCTGGTTCTGTGTATCTGGAAAGCCCTGACTAATACACCCCTTGCCTAGACTGATGCTCTTCTTTTGATCCCAGTGCTTGTAAAATCAATTTCAATTGCCTGTTTTGTTTTTCCTTCCTTCTTGAGGACACAGATTGCCTTTCAAGTGACCTAGCATCTAGCAAAATGTCTGCCATATTGTTGGCACTTATTATCTTTTTAATAAATGAGTGAAGGGCTTCAATTTCTTCTATAAGGGAGTTGATTGTTCAACTGGGAGTGAGGCCATGGGCATGAGCTGAAGGAAATTTAGGGAAATTTTGTCCTTAACAAGTACCCTGTACTGTCAGATGCTTGACTTCTCCTGAGAGAATTTTTTTTTTTTCAGAGGGAAAAGCATTGGTCTCACATTGTTTTGTGGAAACTGGCGGATGATAGAACTCTTGAACAATCATCAGTGGTTATTCTGGGAAAAAAAACAGCAATGACCTGACATTTCCAGATGATACCTGATACAGTGGAAAGAAGCAGGAAGGTTCTAAGTGGGACAAATTGTAAGGCTCCAATATTAAGACACATTATAAAGCAATCATTATTTTTACAATGGCCTCAATTTAGAATGTCAGCCACTTAAATAGCAGTGGTGGCTTTAGTGAAAAAACTAGACATCCTCAGTCTGCCTGCTCTGCTCTCCCCTCTGGCTCTGGTGAATTCTCTCACCCTCCCGCGCTTCTGACTATACCCAGTGCTTGCATAAATACATAAATAAATCTTTAAAAAAGAAAAAAGAAAAAACTAGACATCCTAAGCTATAGGAAAGGGCACAAAACTTAGAAAAAGTTCAATTACACAGAAAAATACAATATATTCATAAATGGTAAAGTAACAGCTTTAAACAATTAGTCAATTAGACAATTAAATGGAACTAGTAGGTTATTTTAAAAAAATAACATACTGATTTGCATCTTTAAAATTTTGACTTCATTTTTTAACATTTATTTTGAAAGAATAGTAGATTCACATGCAGTTACGAGAAATAATACAGAATTTTCATGTTTCTCCCAATGCTCAGTTTCTCTCAATGGTAACATCTTTTCCCAATGGCAAAACTCTAGTATATTATCATAAAGAGGTTATCACCATTGTTATAAACAAGATACTGAAAAGTTATTGGTGATGCCAATTTTGGTGTTTGATTACAAGGAATCTTTCTTCCAACTCACTATTGTAAAGGAACATTTTCTCCTTGTAATTCATAATCTGTGAGCTAATACTTCCAGACCTTGTGACTATTCAGTTCCTTAGTAAACTCTCACTTGATAGTTTTAGCCAATCATCATTATCTGAATTGATTACACTGGTGGTTGCAAAAGCACCCACAGGTTTTGATAAGATGTGAAGAGGCCTAACCAAAGAATTAGTCATTGCAGCAAGGTCGGGGATATTCCATGTTATAGGACTTCCTCTTGGGAAAAGGCAGCTTCATCTTTATGGAGCCTTATATTAAACATTTAAATATGAAAAGATCAATGGAAGAGATTTAAAAAAAATTCTGGAGAAGGCCATGGAAGTAGAAAACATTGAAATCATACCTTCATCAGGTAATTTAGTGCATCGTTTCAAGCAATACACTTTTTAAATGAATGAAACAAATTTATTTAGAGCCAGAAACCACACAGTTTGGGCTGGAGTTATCAGGCAGGTGACATATGAATTTCCAAATCAAGGTAGATTCAAAGTTCCAGACTCAGGGACTTGAGGAACTCAAACAGCGAGGGCCCTTTAGCGCCTCCATCACGTAGCCTTGAAGACAATGCATTTCCGAATCTCCTTTGTCTCTCTTGCCTTTTCCTCTTTGTTAAATAGCACGAGTTACTCCTGACTCCCCAGAAGTTGCAGAGGTGGCCTACAAAATGAAGCTACTAGGTTTTGCCCCCTGTGGCCTAGAGGAACCGCTCCTTCTTTGGAAAGTGGTAAGCAGGAACTCCACGGGACAGCTGGGGTGGTTCTTACGCCCTCAAACCTGTATTCTCACTTTCAGGTCCAACTACACGCTCCTAGGGAAAGGGTCAACAGTGCACTGCCCCACCCACTCACAAGCCAAGACATTCTAGTGCGGAAGAATTGATCTAGGCAGGTGGCAATCCCTGCAAACGCCAAGACACCTGGGCCCTCCAGTACCCAGAAGAGGTAAAGCCCGGGGGCTGGTAATCCGGGGACCTAAGCACGGGTAGGCGGGTCAGTCGAGCGCTGTGAATGCTGGATTGGGCTGCCAGCCTGGGGGTCAGAGTCTGTCTGGGAGCGGGAGCGGGGGCGGAGCCTGTCCGGGGGCGGGGCCGTCCAGGTGCTAGACCTTCCACGCGCATCTCTGACCTGCTGCACAGTTAAGGCCTAGCCCGAGTGGGGACGTGTTTGCTTTTGAGGCTCTCAACATGGGAACGCTTCCTGCGCGGAAAGATATCCCGCCGTGGGTGAAAGTTCCCGAAGATTTGAAAGACCCTGAAGTGTTCCAGGTCCAGACGCGACTGCTGGAAGCCATATTTGGTGAGTGAGCCCTGACCTGGGCGCCCCTGAGCCTGGGGTGCGGCTCTGTGGGCCAGAGCTCTCACTCATCTTCTTTCTCTAACAGGCCCACACGGATCTGGAATCCCGTATTTCGAGAAAGTGTGTAAGGCCATGCTCGAGCTGCATGTTCTGGAATCCTCGGACCTCACTGAAGTCGTGGTTTACGGCTCTTACTTGTACAAGCTTCGTTCCAGGTGGATGCTCCAGTCCCTGGCCGAGTGGCACCGCCAGCGTCAGGAACGAGGTGAGTGACCCGGTGATGAGGTGCTGCAAAAACTGGGGTCCGCGAGGACGGCTTTATTCTCTCTCTTCTAGCCCATCTCACTTTTCCCTTCCCTCCTTGTGACCACCACCTGAACCTCTGGCCGTCGGTGTCTGGGTTTTCCGGAGACCCCTTCGGGACTGCCGTCTGCTGTGCAAGGGACCCTGGAGTAAGATACGATGGGAGGCTGCTGGGGCTGGCCGCATAGGGCAGGCTTTTCCAAGATTGTAACCCCAGTTCCTCCTCCCCTCCTTTCCCCCTCCGCAGCTGCGGAGAGGGATGTTGGAATGAGCCCACGTTCCGAAATGCCCGAGAATCTCAGCCTCAGAACCCTTGGCAGGGGAAGTCCCAGAAACAAACCTTGAAAGAGACTAAGAACTATCCAGATTTTCCCACTGTTCCCTCACCATATACCCATAGTTGCTCTTTTTCCTGTAGGGATAATCAAACTTGAGGAAGCCATGAATGCCCTCGGACTAGGCCCTGAGATGAACTGAAGCTGTTTTGTAATCAACATATCTGGGACCAGGATGTAAAGAAAAACAGGCCAGAGTTGGAGCAGCTCTAGTCTGGTTTAAACTGCTCCAGTTTGATAAGGAAAAACTAGGCGTTTTGGGTTCTCTGGTTTTGCCTCTGAGTCCTGATGTGACTTTCCCCCCAAATTTGCCAATAAAGAAGAACATTTTAAATATATAGTTCCTTGAGCTGTGGTTGGTGTATTGCTCCTTGAGCTTAACCCCCAAGCTAGAAAGAGGTCCAAGGTTAAAAATGACCTAGGAGCCAAACTTCAAGATAGCAGAAAATCAGTCTAGGAGAGATGTGATAATATCTAGAGCTGACCTGGATTGGGGTCTTAAAAATATTAGTCCTGTCTTGTTTAACATAATATGAATGAAATGCAATGCAAATATTCTCTGAAACAGAGAATCATTAATACTATAGCAATTTTATATCCATGTCTGATCAATTTGTTTTCCTTTTGTTAGGGAATGAGCTGTGTCCTTTTGCATGAGTCTCTTTTTTTTTTTTTTAAAGATTTATTTATTTATTTATACAAGCACTGGGTAGGTCAGAAGCGCGGGAGGGTGAGAGAATTCACCAGAGCCAGAGCGGGGAGCAGAGCAGGCAGAAGGACCGAAGTACACTGCTGAGGGGAGCAGCGGGCGGCAGGAGAGCTCTGCGCGCCATGTGGGACCCTCTTCCAGTGGCCAGGGAGCAGCCGGGGATCGAACCGGCGCTGCAGAGGCTGCGGGCAGCTTTGCAACCCAGCGCTCAACCACTGCGCCACCGGGAAGACCCTGCATGAGTCTCTTTATTAAAGCAGCAGATGATTGAATATTTTGATCTACTTAGTTTAATCCTGGCTGAAAACTTTAAAACCATCTAAATGTATTACTCAGCTATTTTCTGATAGCTCTGTTCTCATCTATATTCAACATGAATTATTTAGGTTGGACTTTGAAGAAAATTCACCCTTACTGATAGGCATAAGGAAGAGAAACTCAGACCCTCTGAAGGGGTCTCTGGGATTCACCATGCCTTTACAGAATTGCTCCATTAAGGGTAAGTATATTGGACTAAGTGAAGGCATTACCATAGTCAGAGCTCACTCCTGATAGCTGAGGAATCATCTGAATGGAGACAGTTTTCCCTAATACAGTTTTCCCTAGGTTGGCAGTTCACAAAGTAGAATGAATTCCACTTAGGTAGATTTCTGACCCTATGTTAGCTGAGTTTGTTCAACCCCCTCAGTCTCTAATTGAAGATAGTAGCATCTGACTCCCCTACTAAGTTGCAAGATTTAACTGTCAATATATGTAGGGTACTTACAACAGGCATCATACAAAGTAAAATGTGTTGACTATTTCTGGGAGAGAAAACTAATGATAAGCTGTTTGGTGTAGAAGACAAATGTGGCAATTCCATCAGACAACTCTCCCCCACACTGTCAGTAAATGAATGACACCATTTTTACCCATTCAGGCCAAAAACAAGGAGCCATCCTTGACCTCTCACCATTCACATGAGATCCATGAGGAAGCCTTCTGGAGCACCCTACACTTAGTCTAGCCCCATCCTCTTTTGCCAGGATGACAGAAACGCCTAACGGGTCTCAGTGATTTTTAGCTGTATTTCACAATCTGTTCTTTAGTCAGATTTAATTTTCAAAACGTTAATCATGGTATCCTTTCGAAAGACCCCACAATTCTCCATAGTTTTCCATCCAACTTAAATCAGGCTCCTTATTTTGACCTATAAGACCCTGTGTTATCTAAGCTTTACCTGCATTTTAGCTGTTGTTCATTTTACTGGCAAACCATCGTATTACCGCTTCAGGGTTTTCATTTTCTCTGCCTGGAAATCTTAAGATTTTCTAATGGTTCTGCTCCCTTCTCTCTAGTGGTTCAGTTGCATTTCTAGAGGTCCTCTCCTACTCCACAGTTTCTGTTTAAGCTATTTTTCCTCATGGCATTTATAACCCTGACTGACACTGTTAGCTGCTCATTTTCTTCTCTCCTACTAAAATGTAAACTCCAGCAAGGCAAGGTTATTTTCTTTTTTAAATAGGCAATAGGTAGTATAGTCCTGTTAATTTATAGGACACTGGCACTAGCTAGATGGCTTGGGTTTGAATCTTGACTCAGGTTCTTTTTAGCTATGGAAACATGAGCATGTCAGCCTTTGTGCTTCAATTCTCTGACTGTAATAGGAGAATAACATGTATCTAGTAGGGATTGTAGTGAGGATTTAAACAAGTTAGGGCTATGACCTAAGACTATCAAGTCTTAGAGCAATGTCTGACCAAATAGGAATTCAATAAATATTTCTTGAGTACAGTTTGCTTTTGATCCACTCTAGGACTAAAATTTAAGATTACTCTCCTTCCAGGGTTTATGGAGGGGCTCCAGACTTTATTTTTGTCCTATAAAGTTTCTCATTATTGAAGACTCAGTGAGGGAAACCATAGATGCCCTTTATAAGGGGCATTCTTTTCCAGAATTATCCATAGTTTTTCATCCAACTTAACCAGATTCCTCATTTTGACCTGTAAGACCCTGTGTTGTCCCAGAGGGAGAATTGCTAGTCCAAAGGGGAAGAGCATCTATGCATATATACTTTCATTATCTATTATCAACTTCCCCTTCCTAAGGGGATGAAATAATTTCAGCTCCAGCAACACATAAGAACTCACAAGATTGCATGTTCCCCACAACCTCACAAAGAGATGGTTGGCAACACCCCTCCCCCATCTGTTAGGTAAATAGTCTCCCAATCTTGCTTGAGTCTATTTTATGGTCCAAAAGTTGTAGCACTTGAAAATTACCCTCAGCTAGTGCATCCTTCCAAGTATAAGTTGACAATAGTTGTTGATTGTGTGTGAGAATGTAAACTAGAAAATTAAGGACTCCAATTGTATAGTGTAAATGTAGTAAAAACTGTTCTTGCTCTTTAAATCTAGAAACTGTCTTAAGCACAATGCTTCTAAAAGTAGAAAACAATTTTAGGTTAATCTGTGTGAAAGTAGCAAGCTTGGGAAATTTAAGAATATCATAAATTGTTTGCATGCCCTGGACTGAGGATCGTACAGCCTTAAAAAACCCAAACATAAATCTAAGAAATTTATAGGAAAGGTTTTGGAAATAGCCTGATTTAAGGGGAAAAAAAGATTGTATTGGAATGGTTTTTTATTGTTTTTGAGTTTGAAGCTCTAGAGTAGTTTCTCTTCTAGGTTAAGTGGGAAGATTGAAGGCAGCAAAACAAGCCTTCATTATAATGGAGATAGTCCCTCCGCCCTACTGTAGGGCAGAAGAGATCTGAGGAGATAAAACTAGGGTGTAGTCAAGAAAAACCTAGGATGCTTACAAAACAGAATAGATAAAAGGATAAAACCCAATGTAGGAAATCCTTTTATCCAAAAGTGACTGGCAACCCTTACCTTGAGAGTTTATTTATACCCGCTTCCCCCACCCCACCTGGCACTCGCTTTATTTACTCAATTCTCACAATATCCTCTTACATATTAAGGGCATACTTACCTGACAGGGAAGACAAGATCAGGTAGTTGTTTTTCTGGGAAGAGGTTGATTCATTGCACTATGGATGTGTTGACCTCTGATTCCCCCAGGTATGGGAAACTTTACTGCTAATTTGTGATAGTGGGGAAGGCAGGTTCCTTACCTCCCCTAAAAAAAATTTTTAAAAATCAAGACATCAATCACTCCTCCTCCCCCACCATGATTCATATATTCACATTTAAACATGTATATAATTTTTTGAGGGCCATAAGAAGCGTTTTTGCTTTTCTGGTGGGCTGGCCAGCCTGAGTAAGGAAAGGGGAGATATCCAGCAGGTGTAGATGTTCCTGGCCAGGCTTGTGGGATCACCTAAACACGCCTCACTCCTTCCCCTGCAAGGTTGCAGTGGAGGGACTGCAAGGACTTCCCGGGCCTCATTGGGAAGTGGAGTTGTTGTGGGGTAAGGATGTTCTGAACAAACTCCACAAATAGGTTTTATGGACCCCACCCCACCCCAGAAACCAAAGAGATCCAAGACACCAAGGACTGCAAATCCCATAATATCATCTCCACGGAAGGGAGGATTGCTGGGAATTGAGGGTGGAGTTAAGCAGCCAGGTTTTGTATATAACCAGACAGGTGGGCCTTGGGGATCCTTGGTTTTTCCGCAGGCTTTTAGTGTGCTGTTGGGGTTCCAGCTCAGCAGAACTGGTAGGACACATTCACCAATTTATCTCCCTTTCTCCCTGAGTTATTCATTTCTGCATTTCCCCTTCTTTTATAAATAAACCCTTTATTAACTCTTTTGTGTGTGCCTGCAGTTGAGTCTTATATAATCCCTTTTAAGTGCAGGTGAGGACCCACAGTCAGGCAACCCATTTCACATTGGGCTTGCCCTGTAACAGGGTGAAGTGCTGAGAAAGGTATCTATTTCCCCAGTGGTGACTTTGGATGGGTAGGAGCAAGTCTCAATCTCTGCAGACAGTCCTCCTGGAACTTCCAGCCAGTTTGGGGAGTCTCTTGGATCTAATGATCCATAAATTAATAACTGTTTCCTGAGGAGGAGCTTGGGGGTGCTTAGGAAAAAGAAATAGGGATTAGATCTAGGCAGGGAGGTGGAGTACGGTTCCCCAAGGAAATCCTCCTCGGTGAGAGCTGAGTAACTGGCAGGGGTGAGCTGGCCAGGAGGAAAGGATGCCCAGGAACCTGGGGAACCTACAGTTGAAGCACCAAGCAGGGGCTCAGAGGACAGCTAGCAGGCTGGGGGCCAGACCAGAAAGGGAGGGAAACCAGTCTGCCTAGAACCTCCAAAGGTGAAAGGCAATGCTAAGAGCAAAGGAAGTCACCCAGGGGGCGTTTAATGTGACAGGGGAGTTGTCTAAAAAGCTGCTGCTCCCTCAGAACCACTCACAGCAGTTAAGTTCCCAACTTCCCCTCCCAGCAAGGATCTCAATCTAGATCCCGATTCTGAAATTGCTCCACCCACCCTCTCCACTGCTCCCATCAATTCATGTAATCAGAAATATTTGTTAAGTGTCTTCTTGGCTGCTTCTCCAGGACCCCTCCTGTTCTGGGGAGAAAAGAAAACTGAAGATGTGGCTGGGGAGCATTTTAAGGACATCAGAGAATATTTTTCATGAAAACAAGTTTCTGGATGTTCTTTTCATGGAAGAAATTGGAAACATTAAATTGCATGTAATTTATCAGATGTAAGAATATTTTTTTGAGTAGGGTTATCATTGTGGCATGTCAAACTTGGAAATTAGAATTTGTCCCCAGAGTAGTGCTCCATCTAGCCAAAGACTAGCCCTGCACCCAGGGTCTTGGGTTTGTGTGTGGGACAGGTTGGTGGAGCAGCTGGACATCTGGATGATGAGATATGAGTCGCTCAGAATGGTGCTCCTCCTCAGCCCCATAACCTGACTTTCCAAAATGAAATATTGCTTTGGATTACTTGGCTTTTTCCCTTGGTTCCTGTTTTAGAATACAAATTATGGTGCTACATAATTTTCTACACTGGGTGACATTTCATAACAGTAAAGAAAGTTTGTCTAGATTGATTTACAAAATCATTTTACTTCCATTCAAGAGGATTATAAAACAACGTAACAAATGTAATACAAATTATGTGTATTGATATAAATTGAGGGCTGAGATTAGTAAAAATTAAAGTTGTATTCCTTCATCAAGAAAAATATGAAGAGAAAGGGGAAATTGCTATTTTTTAATAGTCAAAAACCATTATTTTTAGTGTTATTTTGTACTGCAGTACAAATACAAGAATGTAACCATACTTACAGGTATTGAAAAGAAATCCATAGGTTTGCATTCCATAATCAAATACAGGATCTTTCAATTCTGATATATAATAGTTCTGGTTTGCAGTGAATGGGAGTCTATGCTATACCTCCATCCAAGAATAAGAACATTTTATGCATACACTGGAATTGCACCAGAGGCAAACTTAGCTTGTAAAAAGATTGAAAACTACCTGCAGTTGCCCAAAGTGTGACTATTCCACAGGACTGAGCGTTGAAGTGATTTATTATTCCAAACCTAGGCACTAAGTGCAAACAAATTAATTCATGTAATGGTCAATTTTTACAGAAAAATCTAGCTATGAGTGATCATGGGCAATTTTTGCTTTGGGACCTTTAAACTAAACTCCATTAAAAATGGATTCAGGGGGCCTCCCTGGTGGCCCAAAGTTTAAGACTCAACACTACCAACCTGTTGGCAGCCACTGCAGCATGAGTACCATCCCTGGCCAGAGAGCTAACCCACATGGTGCAGCAGACCTTTCCTGTTTTGCCTGCTGCTCCCCTCAGCAGTGTATTTCAGTCGATCTGCCTGTTCTGCTCCCCACTCTGTCTTTGGTGAATCCTCTAAGCTCCCTGTCCTCTGGCCTATACCCCAGCTCTTGAATGCATAAATAAAATAAATCTTTTTAAAAAAAATGGATTCATCTACCAGTCTCTGTTCCATCAATTGCAGAGGACGCAAAACAAAAACCTCTTGGTGGTTCTGAGGATCCTTCTCTTGGCTTGAAAGGGATTGAAGAATTATTTCTTGCCTTCGCCATCAGAGGGGACACAAGTCCTTCTAAAGAAGTCCTTATTCTCTTAATTTTGTTTATATAGGCTGAGGTCGGATGATGAACTAACACCGGTAGAACTAAAATTTGCCAAGTAATCTGCTTTGCAAGTCCTCTATAGATGCTCTAGCCTCCCCTTATAGAATGTGGGAGTACCGGGAACCTGTTTTTCTTAGTTTTGGAGATACAGACCAAGTTACAAAGAGTCCTTTTTAACATCCTATTATAGGATTTTGATAGGAAAATTTGCTGGTGTTATTTGGCACTGGGTAGGTATTAGGATTTTCACTGTCCCAAAAAATTTGTGGGTGGACAAGAATATGGACTATTACTTGTACATGACTTAATCCTCAACTTATTATGTCCATTAATTTGTTTCTTGCCAGGTTATAGTATGATAAGTTATTATTTTAAAATTTGAGCCTTTCTAATAGATATGTAGGGGTCTCTAGTTGTAGCTTATTCTGTTTTTGAAAAATGGTACCAGTTTTTTTGAGGTATAATTGGTATAATAAATGACACAGAAGTGTACAGATTGATCATTTTTTGACACATTACAATGAAACCATTGTAATGGTGGTCCCCAGGAAAGGGGGAGGTTCCAGGTTTCCTGCCACACCCAAGGGAGGGTGGAGCTGAGCAGGGAGAGAAGAAGCTGCAGAGGAGACTGAGGAAGGAAGGAAGCAGGATGGAGAGCCAGAAGGAGACCTGGAGGAGGCACATGGAGCCGAGAGACATGTGAAGAAACTACACTTACCTTTTGGTCGTGGACTGGGTGACACAGATGTGGGTGAGAGACCCGTGGGGAGGTGACAACGGTGGTTTTTGTCTTGATTTTGATTTTGCTCTTTTCCTTCCAGACTTGTCTGGTTGTTTCTGCTCCTTTTCTGTGGGTCCCCACTGGAAGATGATTTAGACTTGTGGCAGGCTTTGGGGACTTGTTCTGGGCTTTGTTCGACTTGGGTGGACTTTTACCCACGAGGGGACAGGTAACTTTGGGTACTTGATTTAGAAACTATATTCTTTGCCTTTCCTGTATTGTTTCCTAATTGTATTAAAGTTCCTTCCCATTAAAGTCTCATATGTTTTGTGTTGATATGGTGGATGGCAGAACCTATTTAGAGCAGGCAGGTTTGCGGGGTCTGGGTTGCCCCTTTCCCTGTCCTGTAACACCATCGCCATGACCAAAATACGAAACATCTGCAATCCCCCCAGATTTTCTCTTCTTTGTAATTCTTCCTTCCTGCTCTTCCTTGCTTCAGACCTGATTTCAGGGAGAAGGCATGCAGTCTTTCACCATTGTTTGGAAATACCATATTTAAACTACTCCTACTTTTGAACATTTATATAGTTTCCAATATCATGCAATCATAAAATAATGTTTTAGTAAATAACCATGTGTATAGCTATATTTGGATTGCTGGAATATATTTTCAGAGTAAATTTCCTAGAAGTGGAAATTCTGAGTTAGAGTAAATACATATGTAGTTTTTTAAATATTGCCAAACTCCATCTCATAAGTGTGGTACCAATTTGCATCCTCCCTCTGCCCAGCAATATATGAGGGTGCATGTTTCCCCAATGCCTTGCCTTCCAAGTATATTATACTTTTGAATTTTGGATCTGGCACCGCAGTATAGTTTTAGTTGAACCTCTTTTCATGTGCTTACAGACTGTTTTTTTGTGAATTGTTCATGTTTTTAGTTCATTTTCTATCAGATTTCTGGTTCTTTTTCTTGAATTTTAAGAGTTTTGAAAAAAGATTTATTTATTTATTATTTATACATACATACATACATACAAGAACTGGGGCTAGGTGGGGGTGGGGGGGGGAATTCACCAGAGACAGAATGGGGAGCAGAACAGGCAGATCCACTGAAATACACTCCTGTCTCAGCAGGTGAGACAGGAGAGGTTTAGAACTCATGTCACAGTGGGTGGTGATAGCTTGGTAGCTCTGAGACTAACCTAACCCCTGCATCACCAGGGAGGCCCTGAATTATAAGAGATTTTAAAAATATATATAAAAGATCTTATTGTCCTTTACCTATGATATATGTTGCAAATATTTTCTCC